TGACTTAAAGGCAATCTGTAATCTTTCTAGCTGAGGAACTTGGCTCCTCCAGGAGCATGGCTGATAGAGGTCTCCACTCCCTCGGAAAAATGTGAAGCTCGGTCAGTGCGTTACTCATGAGTTAACCTAGTTAACGATTTAGAGGAGTGAATGCATGGAGTTTGCCTACAATTTCTCTCCCGCTCCTGTAGTACAGACTGGTTGAACAACGGTCTCTGCGTGAACCATGGCCGGAATGACCAGGGAAAAGATCCATCAGAAGGGGCAGAACTGGTCGTGAAATCCGACCAATCCGTGAACTTTACTATAATCATTCCGCAACTAAACAAAGTATGCCTGCTTCACGGCAACGAAGCCGCATGTTTCGAAGATAGCACAGCTTGAGATCTTGAAGTTTGGCTGGAAACTTCTACCACACAGATCGTATAGCCCCTTCTAAATATCCATCTCTTCCTTTCCCTCCGGCAGCAGTTACGATCCTCAAAAGCACCTCGCAAACAAAACACTAACACTTCTTTCAACTCAAATTAGGAAACCTTCTGGAAAAGAGGTATCCACACACTATGGCCCTTAGCAACAAGTCAGATGAAAATTGTGCATATATCGTTGATTGATACTATTTGTTGATTAAATGAATTTGACTCAAAAAAAAGTTTGAAAATGTCACAAACTTGTAGTACATCCCAATAGAAAACGGCCAAGAAACCTTCCGTCCCCTCTAACGTAAAACTGCAGCATTTTTTGAAAAGACCCCTTAAAAGGCTATAAATTGGTGATCGTGATGCAAAGTGACCTTCGAAGGAATAGCAGATTGCTGCAGGTGTGCATGGTGCTGTAGCTGTCCAGTACCGAGCCGGTATGTTTTATTTTTTCCCAGGCATCTCCCCAGGTGGTTGCGTAGAGTTCACCTTCTGTATAATTCTGCTCCAAAAAGTATTGAATAGATCTGAAATTCATGTCATAACCCTGAGATTAAGGGAAAAGTTGTTACACTCGCTCACCTGCTCCATCCAGTCGCCAGGGGGGCCTGAGTATGCAATGCAGCGTCACCGTTACCATGAATGAAAACCACAGGCTCATTCCTTATCTGTAATAAGGAAAGCAACTTTTGAATTGTTGTTTATTGTATTCCTTCAAACTAGTTCGATTAATGCTAGCCGAATGTTGTAATGTTAGCTATGCTTAATGTTAGCTAGCCTTAACGCCAAGACTTGCTTACGCGTTCGAATTGCACGCTTTTTCCCACCAAAACTTCCATTCGGACCGACATCGGGTCGATCGAAATTGTCCTTTCATAGCTGAATTGAAACCCATCATCATTGAAAAGGAATCAGACGAAAGAATTGGCCACTTTCACTTCGTTTATGCCTTGGCGTTTTGCCAGAGAGGGGATACAAAGTTCTACTTAGAACCTCTCGACAATGACTTCCATTTCGGGAACTGTATAAACACGCTCATGGCAATCGCGGCGATTTCGCAAAACAACCAGAAAAACGGACCGGACAGCAGCGATATGCAGAAACTTACTCTTGTCAGTATGCACGACTATGTGGTATCATATCTGAAAGAGGGGTCACGAACTATGTGTGTACTCAATCTAAAATGATGGTACGGATGCTATATGGTGGGAAAGTGGCGAAAAAAGAAGTGGAACGATCAAAAACCTTCAAGAAGCCTTTCTTCTACACGATTCCAGACAGCCTTTGTTCCACAGGATTCCAAAAAAGGCTTGCTCTACACGACTAAGCGATTTCGGACGATTACCGTGGATATCGTGCCAATAACAGTTACGGTAGATGCGGCTGCATGTATATACACACATATCCATGCAGCACAGCAGGCTGCAGCACAGCAGCATGTCGCTTCATATCAACCTCTTTGCTTTATAATGCAAATGGAGCGATTCGAGCATGAGGATCGGTCGGACATTGGTGGAAGGGCAGGCGCGGTGGGCGTCCGGGTGTGTATATTGCAGCTTGAGCGCTATAAGGGTACCTTCCCTGGAAAAGGCGCCACACAGCGCCTGTTTAGGGGCGCCGAATTCTGTCCTGCTATGCGAATTTGTCCTGAACGTCTTGAGTATTTATTGTGCCTTTCGCCTTCAATCAGTGCTCTAATTATTCGTGTTTCCTTCGCTTTTCGGTCATTTGAAGTTAGGGCTAACGATTCGTAGAATTTCCGCCGAATTCGTCCCTGCCCACCTACCCCCTTCCCGCAAATCTTCATTCCTGATGCCACCTCCATTTTGCATCTCCTAGTCTTTCAACTTTTCCCAGTTCACTACCACTTTTCCCAAACTTACGGGAATTCCAGTCTCTCTTCCAGAGAAACAGCCGTCGAGCAAAGGATGGGGGATGGGGAGAGGGAACGTGGTCACCAACCAATTCTCAAATCCAACTATCGAGAAACAGTCGTTGTGTAATCATTTTGGGCGTGTCGGGAAAAAAGTTTTGCGAATTGATTAAATCCTTGATAATTGCTTGAATTTCGAAAAAAATAGAGCAGAAGTAGTTTGATGGGATGAATGGAATCATCGATTGGAAGTCCATCAAATCAGAGGTACAGTTTGTATCACCGCAACCAGTTGAGCCGCATCCAGGTGATAGATGGACCGACCCCACATGGGGCGCTGTCCCCCCCCCCCCCCCTAGCCCTCCCCCCACTGGTTCTTTTCTTCCTAAATCGATCACTGAACGATCACCATTGGTAGACGAAGGCAGCCAGAGGCGTGCTCATCCCGCCCTCTTCACATCGGCCCCAACTTATTGCCATGTTACAAACTATACATTGGTACTACTCTGATATGTACTGAGTTCAACGAGACAAAAACCTTATGGCTGAAGAAATGCTCAGGTATCTGTTAGGTCTTCCCATCCAAAAACGTGGATACATGTAGAGGAATGGCAGGAAAGCTATGGCTATGGGGTTCTACATCATCTGAAGGCTTGCACCTTTAGCTACGTAAGCTGATCTACAAACCCGGCCCCAGAAGAAAATCTCCAGAAATCAAAGAGGAACCCGATTGGGCAAAACCTGCCGAGGATTATGGGATCGGGGATTGTAAGGGGAAAGTGCGCTGTTCAAATTTGTCTTGGGCCGGACCAGTAGTTACACATAATGGTTTTCTCCGGATAGAATGTGGAATATTCGGTTCAGAAGTTCAAAGAAGGAAGAGCGAAGAAAAATCCTGGCTGAGGAGGGCCCCATGATGCTCATCTGCACAAGAAAAATGGTGGATGAAGTCAAGCGCTGAATATCTGATCACAGAGCCTGGACCTTGTCGAGCTTCCCCGCGAGACTGACATCCCTGCTGCAACTGCTGCCCGAGTTATGTCTGAAAAAGTGAAGATGGTCAAGAGGCCTCGTTTTCTCACGGAAGCATGAAGACATAACCGATATGATGTCTGTAGCAGCAATGTCCATCGTCTATGACGTCATTCACGACTGTCAAACGCACTGTGGTCCTGGACGCAAGATGGGTGGTGTACTCGGAGCCGAATCTCACAAGCGTCAATTCTGTATGAATGCAGATAAGAAGCAGCCCTGGTTCTGCCATCAGGACTTACGTTGAGGGGGATAAGCATTGGATTCCTGTTTGAACAGTGGATTCCTGCAAGCGGCTCTATATAGAGAATAAAATCGTCACTGTCGGTGTTTATTGCCTGTTCTCGACCATCAGATCGACAAATGGATGATACCACACAACTACAAGAAGGCCACCATTGCTCGCCAGGCTTCGAGTAACTGTATTATTGGGCAGTGCTCGGGACACAAACAATACTGAGAGCTGGGTTCAATCGCCTTATTCGCCCGACCTACAGCCGTGCGGTTTCAACTGTCCTAGTCAACAGAAGGCACATTCGAAAGGCAAACGCTACTACAATATGTCGATCGCTGAAACTGCCATCAACAGCACTTTACCCGCAGTTATTGAAAAAACGAAGGTGCCCGTTGTTCAGACGCTCCTTGGACACTGTCATATGAAGGAATGATCTACTGAATTGAAAGTCAAGATATTATTTTTTTATCTATTTTCCTCTCCATTTTATTCGAATACCTCCCACGGTTTTGGATGGATGACCTTATACCATATGTAGCAAAGAAAACCAGCCTAGAAATGGTAACTAATCATCGTAGGTTTCCATAACTTCCTAACAGAGCCAGTACTTGCATTAGGTAACAAGCAAACTGAGTTTGACAAAAAAATCTGTGATGGGAAGGAACAGTAATTCAGTAGCTGAAGATTCTGTGAAGGACAGGCAAAGAATGGTAGAGGAGACCTTTTCAACACTGCCTTTGAAAAACGCTTTGTATAGGTCAAGCTTTCAAAATACTGAGACTCACCCATTGGCAACGAGCCAGTCAACAAAGTGTGACGAAAGCGGACCAGGCGGACCATATTTTGGGATAGTACACCAGTCCACAGACACCACAGCACTATCAATGGTCTGGAATAAATGTAATTAATTCAAAGCTTCGCAATTCACAGGTATACAATTATTTGCAATGGTTCGTAGGTACGAAGCTTAACTGAACAGTATGTGTCTCAAGCTCATTGTGAAGCTCAGTATGATTGGGATCTACAAAAGATATCCAAGTAGATCCACAGGGAATTATCCGACCTGAGCATTATTCAGCTTTTAGCTACAGTGGATCTTGGCCGTGGAAGCACCGAGAGACTCTTTCTCGTTCGCTGTCTTCCTTTACATGGAGCAAAGGCAATAATTCCTATATTATACCTCGAACTGGTGTCATTAAAAACTCCGTAAGAGTTCGAGATTAAGAACACTTTGGGGATTGCACTAGAACGGAACTGGTTTAAATCCCGTCTCCGGCGATTCGGGAGAATGGTTTATTGAGAACCCTTCGCAAGAACCACCCTTTGATCTTTTCACAGAAGACATGCTGACACACAACGAAAAGGCGCTACCACACAGCGCAATAGGAATTATTTTAACGTCCAAAAACCCTTGATCCTTTTCAAAGTAGAAACACTACTTGAAACACAACAAAAAGCGGCCTACCACACGGCAATAGGAATATTTTAATGTCCAAAAAAAAGATGCGGCAAAATAACTCTCTGAACTCGCCCGTCCTCACAAATGAACGTCACTTCAAATCCGTGTAATTCGGTCCTGGTTCAGTTTCTAGTCAAACATAATGATCATAGCAGGATATTTTTTGCACAGACAATGACAGGAGTGTTTAGCTCAAATCAGTACTCAAAAAACTAGTTAAATAAAGCAACTACTTAAAACTAGTGCAATTAATATAGTCACTGAGAAGAACTTTGGAAGGTAACTTCATTGCGCCGAGGTGAGTATACCGAAATGGGCCTGCAGTAGGGTAGAGTAGTCGACTGGAAAGGGTCAGAAACTAGGAAGTCAGAATGCACATTGCCTATATTCAGTTGAAGGCAGGACAGCAGCGAGTGGTGATGTGTTGTCTTGGAAACACCTAAAAAAGCCCTAGACATGCGCGCTAGAGCTGGAAAGAAGTCATTTGAGTGGAGGGCGGAAGATGTCTTGAACGCCGGAAAATACGACGCACGCACTCCGCGACGTCGCATGATTACCACGTGAAAGTGTGAGAAGAAGGCCAAGAAAAAGGAAGAGTAGTAACGGTTGGTCACTGCCAAAGTTAAAGGCACGGTCCGCGATCAGGTATAGAAGTTGAAAATATGGCGTCGGGAGGGTAGTGTGGTCCGCGACGAACAACCTTGTACCGGTTTCGCGGCAAAAAATTGTAAGGGAGGGGCGCTATAGCGCAATATAGGTTCAGTGACGCCTCCTTTTTTCCAGTGACTCCGCCTCCAGACTCCGCCTTCAAGGCCCGCCTTTCAGTGAAAACCGCTATCTATGGCAGTTGGCAAGTTTTTTTTACTGCTTTTTTTTTCTTCACTATCAAGTTACTCAGCACCTTGTCGTCTGTATGCAAACCCCTAATCCACTATCTGTGATGGCGAATGATCGCGGGCTTTGCCTTCAAGTCACATTCCGCTTAAACTCAAATAGGGAAATCCGCTTGAGCTAAACTTGTTTCAACTCCCGAAGGTTCCTTCCCAAAAGTCACACGATGTCTGAAAAGCTCATGCGAACGTTTTCAGAAGATCCGTCTAGTGTCAGCTGGCGATCTTTCCCCAATTCGGGCGTACACATGGCTATTGTCTGGCGATTGCTAATGCCTAACCAGCCTATGATCCAACGGCGGTCATTCTCTCATGCATATACGCATATGGAACGAGTTCGGCCGAGGGAGTCAATGGCTACGTAATAACGAATTACGAACGTGAACCGGTCCGATGCCCTCTCGTTTCGAGATCCCATCAAGTGCATTGTTACAAGAAGGAATTGTGGGAACAAATGTGGGGAGGGGGAATCAGATGGCTAGCTCATGGGAGATATCGTGAAAAGGAAAATCACGTAGAAGCCC